AATTAATTCTAAATTGTTTAGATTTTACAAAGCTCAAATTTTATTTAAAAAAATTTCAAATTATTAAATATTATCATATTAAATTTTTTACTTTTAGTATTTTTAGTAAAATCAGTTAGGCAATTTGAATTTAAAAAGCGAATGCTTATCTCTTTCATATAAATCACATTAAGTTAACAGAGAAACATGCACTACATTAAAGCATCATAAAATAGTCTGATAATCAGTCAAATTGCTTGGATTAGTTTTTTTTTTTATTGCATTACAATTCTCAATTTATAAATGCTTGTTCAGTCTTTGTGCAATTAATCAACAAACAATCCATGTGGCAATAAAGTTTTCCTTGATTGACAACATCTTTATGGAACACTTGAATTTACTGGAAGTAAATTTAGGAGTATTGTAAGGTTACAACCTGAGCCTTATACTGTTTTTTAACAATATTAAAGATATTCCTGAAAAACTCAACACAATAGTGTCTGGAAAATCTTTACCATTGTCTTTATTTGTTGATGATGCAACTATATTCTATCGTCTTTGCATTGCTTCAGTCATCACACTTTAATTTTCATTCAGTTATTATTGCAAAAACTTTCATTCACTCATTACAATAATCTTGATAATTCTTAAATCTATAAATGACATATTGATTGAAATTTTCGTTTCACATCTTCACAATGACATGACATTTCACACTTCACATCTTCCATAGAAAAATCAACATTAGAAGTTGATTTTTAAAAACTCCTGATACTACTTACTATCTCTACAAATCTCTTATCTATATTTGTTGTATGAAACTATGTTACTATGTTCAGGCTGTCTTTTAAAAAATATCAATAGTCTCATCACCAAAACAATTTTTCTTTATTCAACAAATACTTTCCTGCTCAAATGGCTATTATCTTTTCTTCTAGCTAACAAAATTCAAAGAAAATATCTTGTAAAATGCTATGTGTGTCAAAAAATGTATATTTAGTTGTGCATCTAGTTAAACCATTAAAAAAATGTTTCTCATAAGAAATTTTTTGCAATGTTTAATAATAATTATTGTTTTGAAACCTCTATAAAATTCTCCACTAAACCTTATTTTAATAACCAAAATTATATACAGATATAGTAAAAACTTACTATTTGCTGTGTCTACAAAACTAGACTGTTGTGTAAAACCATTTCTTGCTTTACCAAATGAACTCATAACTTTTGGAAATATAGAAGAACTTGATGAACTAAAGGAAGCAGGACTTAAACGATATTGCATATCAGGGGAATATGAAAAATTATTTATAGGCTGAGAATGAAAAAGAATTGGAGCATGGGAATATCGAAAATTGGAAGCATCATTACAAAAGTCTATTTTTTTCAGAAAACTGTTATTTTGTATAAGATTGTCTATGCCATTTATATTTGGTTCAGAATTTTGACATCGATGATTCTTGGACAATCTGAAAAGATTTGAACTACATAAATCTTCTGTCATAAGTATATTTTTGCACTGAATAGTGTCTATATTATTATTTTCAATATTTTCAGCAATATAATTTTGTAAAATATTTTCAGAAGTACCATTAGAATGTTTAGCATATGTTTTATCACAATTAAATAGCGGAAATTTGTTAAGATGAGCTTCAGAACTATGGAAAACTGTTGGTGAAGCATTTAAACTATTAGAAGCTACCATTGGTTGATTTAAACTGTTAGAAGCTATCATTTGTTGATTTAAACTATTAGATGCTATTATTGGTTGATTTAAACTGTTAGAAGCAACAATTGGTTGATCAACAGGAATGTAAACAAATTGCTTATTTATTGGTGATATCATTCGATCGGAAATGTGTTCCACAATCAAAGGCGGATGTTGAATATATACTGGATTATTATGAATAGGTATAGTTGAGAATGGAAAACCATTTGATAATGAAAATATTTCTGATACATTGTGTAGTAATGGAGAGGAGGACAACTGAACTTTGCTCTTGGTTACAGGGCCTAAAATAAGCAAGTTTAAAGTTAAAAGTAAAGTATAATCCAAAATAATTTGTGTATAATGTAACTAAATGCCCATTAAATACCAAGTATTATATTATTAACATTATCAGTGAATTAAAATTTGTTAAACTATAATAATTAAATGTATTTTTTAATAAAGATAATTTTAGTAACTTTTATCATTTTATTACACTGATGATGTTATCAGTGTAATAAAATCAGTTTCTTAGTTTCATATAAATATGAAACTAAGAAAGTTTGGTAAAAAAAAGCTCCTGCTTTTTTTAATTCATTGTAAAATATTACTTTGTACTTTAATATTTATAATTTATACTTAAATATTTGGCAACAAAGTGCAATAAAATTGTTAGCATAGTGTTAATGGATTAACACTAAGTTTAGGAAAATGTCAAAGTAAAAAGATTGTAAAAAGAATAAACTGTTGTGAAAATTATTATTTTACTGCATTTAATTCCTTAAGGCCAAAAGAGCAATTACAGTGAAAAAATGCTACTACTAAATAAGTTTCTATATACATACTTTGAGTAGAAGCAGGATCCACATGGTTAAAATTTTCAACTGAACACTAAAAAAAAAAAAAGGTTTTTAATATAAAACATATATATATATATATATATATATATATATATATATATATATATATATATATATATATATATATATATATATATATATATACATACATATATATATATATATATATATATATATATATATATATATATATATATATATATATATATATATATATATATATATATATATACACAAAAAATATTTTAGTCAAATCAGAGATTCTACTAAAAGTCCCAAAAGGACTACAGCTTTATATCTCTACTTTTTCCAAATCTGTAGTGCCCAGAAGCTCTAAACATGTTTGTTGACTTAAGATAAGCTATGAGTAAAAAATTCATGAGATTTAATGACTTGAAATTTATTGTTTTTAAGCCCGGAGTCCTAGAGTCCTTGCTGCCATTATACCTAAGGAATCCGGGTTTAAAAAATGATTGTTCCTCTTACCTAAAAGTCTTTTTTTCCTATTAGTAGTCCATAAACATATTTATATTTTTAGAGCTCCTGGATAAAAAAAACTTGGAAGAAGTGATCTTTTTTTGTCTTATCTTGATTTTTAGGGCTCCTTGATACAAATCAGGGATCCCTTTAATAAAGGTTAGCTGAGAACAAACTTTTTTTTGAACCTGATTCTTAGAACCTTCAAATTAAATTAAAAAAATCTTGAGACTTACACAAAAAACGTAATAAAAAAATAAAAACTAAAAAACAAGAAATAAACTTTTTCTTTACATTTTCAAATTTTTAGACAACTACTTGATAAAATTGAACAAAAACACCAAGACAAAAAAGGCCTTCGGCAGAGGCGTAGTCTCTTTCTACGAGAGCTTTAGCTTGTTTATATAACTGTTTATTTAACTGTTTATTTTAAATTTCATGCAAAAATAGCCATATTGGTTCAACAAACAACTAACAGAGCTAACCAAAAACAAAAAAAATCTCTGGTTCAAATTAAAAGTAAGTGGTTTCAAACATGATCTTAAACTTAAATACCTGGAAACAAAAAAGAAAGTAGCAAGGGAGGTGAAACGAGCAGTATTTGAGTACAAAAAAAAATTAGTCGCAAACGCGAAATCAAACCCAAAATTGATTTATTCTTACATTAACAAAAAACGAAGCATCAAAGTTGGTATCAAAACTCTTGGATAATAATAGAAATTTGATTAATGATAGAAGCAAATATGTGAAATCTTTAATCTAAAGTTTCAGGAGTCTTTTTGTGAAGAAAATTTAAATGAGCTTCCAGAATTTCCAATACAAACTAATGTCAAATGTGACAACAAAACTGATAATATTTTTACATTGGAAGTGGTTAAAAAAAACCTAAGAGAATTAAACAAACATAAATCATGTGGCGTTAACGGAGTTCTCCTTATGTACTGTCTAGCTGATTTGATTCATTGTCTAACCCAATTCAGTTCTTATTTAAGTTATCGTTTAATAGTGGTAAAATACCGGAATTATGGAGACTAGCAAATGTTACGCAAATTCACAAAATTAGATGTCATTTGGATGTTTCAAATTACAGACCTATTTCCATAACATCAGTGGTCTGTAGAGTAATCGAGAGCATCATAAAGGACAAAACAGTAGACCATCTTTCAACAAATAATTTAATATCAAAGGATCAGCCTGGCTTCGTTAAGGGAAAATCATGCACAACAAACTTGCTTGAATCATTTGATCTAATTACAAAAACTACCAACAATGGCATTCTAGTTGGTATAATATTTAAAGACTTCAGTAAAGCATTCGATCGAGTACCACGCACACAACTTTGTTTAAGAAAAGTAATAGCATACGTAATAGTAAATAAGATGCTGAACTGTATAATTAACTATTTAAAAGATCAAAAACAGCATGTCATACTAGGAGACGCCATTTCAGACTGGCTTCATGTGCTTAGTGGGGTTCCTCAAGGTTTGGTTCTAGGGTCATTACTGTTTCTAATTTTCATAAATGACCCGGCATCACAAATTAAAAATAATCCAACACTTTTTTCAAAAATGATTGGAATCATTAAAGATAAAAACGATTCGATAAGTTTACAAAATGATATTAACATTATATCAAAATGGTGTGAAACATGGCAAATGTCTTTATGTATGTAATTGTAAAGTAATTCACATTGTAATTCACAAATGTAAAGTAGTTCACATTGGGAAATCAAATCAAAAGTATAATTATCAGGGAAATGGGCATCAATTTTTAAAGGTAGAGTTTGAGAAAGACTTAGGAGTGATCATCAGCGCTGACTTAATATGGGACCGGCAAATCCATTCCGTAATAGCAACGTCAAATCGTATATTGGGTCAGCTTAAAAACTCATTCAAATACATTAACATTGCCACTTTTAATATGCTCTTCACATCAATGGTAAGGCCAGATCTGGAGTACGGTATTCAGTATCCAAATAAATTAAAAGATATCAAAGCAATTGAATCAGTCCAAAGAAGGGCAACTAAACTAGTCCGAGAAATTAGTAGCAAAACATACGAGGAAAGGATCCTTTATCTGACAACACTGGAAGAAAGACGATTAAGAGGAAACCAAATACAACAATTCAAAATTAAATATGAACTAAATAAAATAAACTTATATTCTAGTTTAACCTAAGAAAAACACAATCATGGCACAAGACAACAAAACTTTCTATAATATTATATAAAAAATGTAAATATGCATTTTTTATATAATATTAATAAATTACCATAAATGGTCTTTATATAGCCATTTCTCATGATGATGTCGTTGTAGTTTGATAATAATAATAATAATAATTTATATATATATATATATATATATATATATATATATATATATATATATATATATATATATATATATATTTAAAGATTTAAAAGTTTTTAAAGTAAATCTTTTGTCCTTCAAAATACAATCCATATTCGAACTTTAAACAATTTAGAAATAATAGAATTATACAAGGTTTTTATATACTAGTTTGTTTTGTTTTATAAAGAAAAATACGTATTCATTAGTAAAAAATGGAGACTCATTAAACTAAAACGTGCCTTAGTATTTATTTAACGGAACCTGTAATGTGCGCCTGCATAATAAAACCTCCGTTATATAAATATATTCAACGTAATATTAGTGTCATCAGCGGATGTTGTAGTCTACTCATGATTTCTTTACCTTGTAATATAACTTGATTTATGAAAAAAAAAACTTATTGAATCGCACGCAGAAGAATTTTAACAAATTGTCTTCATTCAAGTATTGCGAGTAACAGGTAATTTTATTTTTCTGTGCCGACCCCCTCCCTCCGCATAACTTAAACTATATACCTTTAACTAATAAGAAAAGCAAAGACATTTTTTTTAACATCTCGAAAAAATGTCTTGATATTTTTGTTATCATGATAACAAAAATATTAAGACATTTTTTGAGATTTAATAAAAAAAAATGTCAATTCTTAATTACACATTTTTTTGCAAATGTTTTTTATTATAAATTCAGTAAAAAATTCATAAAAAATCTATATTACAAAAAACTTTTATATTCTGTATTAATAAATATGGAATATAGATTTTTTAAAAGTTTTTTATTAAAAACATTGCAAAAAATTTGTAGTTAAGGATTGACAAACAATTTTTCATGTTGCGAAATATTTGGATAAAAAGTTTAGCGTCAAATTAATTGCTATAAAAAGGAAAGATATATCGCGATGAAAAGTTACAACAATTATTTTTAAAGTAAATTTTTTTTTTTAATAAATATCTTTACATATCGTTATTTTAAAAGTTAATGTGGTTTTTTTGAAAATTAATTACTACTTTTATGTTACCGCTAATTTAAAAGTTATAAAATGATAAAAAGTAGCTTAACCAAAACAGCTCTACGCGTACGTAAAAAGCGCTTAAGGCGTACGTAAATCGCTCTAGGCGTAACGCTTTAAAACAAGGCCTGTATATATATATATATATATATATATATATATATATATATATATATATATATATATATATATATATATATATATATATATATATATATAATACAAATATACTAATATATACATAAAACTTTTTTTACTCTAAATTTATAAATTAAATATTGCCTTAGGGATCGCCCATATATTACATAACGCAAAATTTAACAATAAACAAAACAAAAAAAATCAAAAGTTTTCCCTCACAGAGTCTTGAATTTGAATAAATAATCAAAATAGGAAATCAAGTTAAATGAAAATCGCTGCGTAAAAGAACTTAATATCTCCTACTTCGGTTCTTATAACATTTTTTGCATTGTGTAATTTATGAATGATCCCTCACATGAAATGACATCTTTACTTAGAATAATGTTTCCTTTTTTAAAAAATTCAGCCCTAGATTCATGAATAACCTAGAATCATTTTCAATTAAGTGACCACTAAGTTAACAAACCACTAGTTTTTTATTGAAAAAAGTTATTAATGTTAATCAAAAAAGAAACTCTAACAGCTTGGAGTTTCAGATTCATAGTAAGAGTTTTTAAGATGTCATTATCAAGGTCAGATCAAAGGTAGTTTTAACTATTTCTATGATGACCTATCCTTATACTGAGATACAACTTGTAAATATCTCTTCTATTCTGTGCATGTAAAAATAAATATATGGAATAATACAGATATACACAAGTTGTCTACATTGCCAACTGTATTTTTTTTTTTGGTTATTTAAGATGGCTTAACATTCTTATCACAGAGTATTGCAAAAGAGCATTTGTTGAATTTATGCCACCATTCTTACAAATATGTAATACATAGGCAGATATGAAACCTTGGATTTATTGATTCTAAGGTAAATGCTTTAATTACTGTGCAGCAACTGCTCACCCATAATTTTTCATGCAAGGCTACCTTTGCACATTTGTCTATAATAAATGAAATGATAAAACAATTGCATGTTCTGCAATAAATTGTTTATTTGGTTTATTTCAGCCTAAAAGAAATTTATTTTAGTGCTCTTCCTCATAAGGAATTGAAAACGTTTTTAAAATCATAAATTATTATAATAAAAGTTTTTAAAATAATAAATTATCATAAATTTTAGGTAATCCTTCAGTTAAGTGGCCTAAAAGAGTTTAATTTTTTTTGCTTGTTGTACTCTTGTCAGCGGACACTTTTTAACAGTGTAGCCTGACCAGAGTACAACAAGCAAAGAGTACAAAGTAGTCTGCTGCACCAAGAAGCAGCACATCCTTGGTGCAGCAGGCTACAAGATATTCGATGTATATACTGAAGCCAATAATTATTATTTATGTTTAAAAAGTCTCCACTGAGAGAGTAACAAGCGAAAGAATAAAATTATTTTAGGTTACTTAACTATTGCGTTACCAAATAATATAATTGTAAATATTTTATTTCATCATTAATAAATATTATTGTTAAAAATGTATAAATTATTATTATTATTTTATATTAATATTTTTTTTTATTGAAATGCCATTTATACTCTGTACCCTTTTAAAATAAAACAAAAAACAGTATTTGAGCCCAATTAACTGCAGCATTATTGCTTATTTTAGTATATTCAAATACAGAGTATACTATATGGTACAGTTACAGCATCATGTTACTATTGCAACTATTTTTAAATAATTAAAAAAAAATGTATAAATTACCGCTGTTTCAAAATCTATTAAGTTTCCTTCTTTGCACTTTTGATTTAATTGTTCATGGCATTGTTTTTCATCTGAAACAAAATCTTTCAACTTTTTTCGTAAGCTTTGTCTTTGATTAAAGTTAAAGGCTGGGTGGAAAGAACCCATTGTTAATAAAAGTTTCATTTCATTTCGTGAAGTTTTTTCTATCCAATTATCATCAATATTTTTATTTTCTGCACTTTTCTCTATACTATCAGAACGGTGCAGAACATTTTCAGTTTTGCTTTCCAGACTATATTCATTTAAGATATTAAATAAATTTAAAGCTGCAATTTTATTATGTGAATGTAAAAGTGCTAAAAATATACACAATCGTCTGCGTGTTTCTTGATCTGAAAGACTACTAAAATATATGGAATTTTTGTTGTTTGCATCTTTTTCTAACTTTAAAAGATGTGTATAATGTTTCCCAGCTGCGTATTCTAAGTAAGTGCCAAGAAAACGCAATTCTAACGGTAAACAGCTATCCAATAAAGTACACATTAGCTCAATCCTCGAATGACCTTCGAGGTTTTTAAACCATATGTTTATTTCCTCTTGACTAAAACTCTTCATGCTGTGAAGACAAAAACTGTCTTCAAACGTAAACCCTAAGGTTCATTGATAAATCTATTTATTAAAATTAATTAATCTCAAAGTAATTACGGTTTTTGACGAGAATAGTTAAAAGAAGAACAGAATTATAAAAATCAACTAAATTTCAAGGTACGATATTTTTAACCTCTTAAAACTTGAATTTCGAACAAAACACAGTCCTAATATCGCTTTTTTTTTTAAATATAGTTGTTTAAGTGGATGATTTAATTTTATACCTACTTTATACCTTAGTTTATTCTAAAACAAAATGGTATCCCTAATTGCGAAATGCCATGCATATTCTAATTTTTCAAATTGCGTTTGCTATTTATTTATTTTCAGTTTCTTGTAACTAAAATTATCATTATATAATATTTTTCAATTTAAAAAGTATTTTATTGAAATTTAATAATAATGCCTAAAAATTAAGTTATTTTTTATAAAATTAGAACGGCTATATCTGTAAAACCTGTTTAAAATATAAACTAATTATTTCAATTTTGTCATCTTTTGTCATCTCAAAATATTTAAAAATTATAATCCCAAAACGAGTTCCTCATTAAATGTTTGGTTTCAAATAGTTGTAAAAATGTCGTTCAACAATTGTGCAACAATAAGTTTAAATAAACATAAACAAAAAAGCAAAAATTAGTAACAAAAGCTAAAAAAAAATGTAATAATTATAAATGATTTTATTTAAATGCAAACTGTTTAAATTGTTTTCAAAAAAATGATATTTGAAACGTAATATATCAAAGTCCATGTTAAGTAAATGCCGTTTTGAATTTGGTGCAAACATAATTTAAAATGGGATTTGGTACAAAAATTGTTCTCTGAACATTTGGTATGATTTGTGCAAACAATTCTTGTTTTTTGGTAGGATATTTATGAGAGATTTCATTTAAGTAAAATTAAAGTATTACTTTGGTATCATGAAGTTTAGCCTTGTTGAAAAACTTTTTCTCTTATGATTTGTGAGAATTTTTTTTTTTTTTTTTTTTTTTTTTCCAAAATTTATAAGTCGTAATATATAAACATAAGTCGTAATACATTTAAGTCGTACTAAAATATAAAAGTAGGTTTCCGAAAGAAGATCATAAGGATCTTATCATCGGAACCTTAAAAAGTAAAAATATTTATTTATAACATATATATATATATATAGAAAATTTAACGTGTTTACATTATGCAAAATACAACACATTTTAATATATAATAAGTTGAAGATTTAACAAAAACATTTCACATACATTTTAAATGGAATTTTAGAATGTTGTCCATAGAGAGAATGAATTTTTTTAACTTAATTTTAAAAACGGGAAAAGTAATAGAAGGATCAAAATTTGGTAATACTATTTTATTTCAAAGATGGGGTGCACGATATGCAATACATATTGGTTTTAAAGAAAAAAGGTCGTTAAAAACAAATAAAGATAAATCGTTTTTCCATATAAAAGTAAAACATAAGACATTAAATATGTTCAGTTTATAAACATCTAGAACATTCATATAATCAAAAAAATATTTTGAATGTGAAAAGCGATCCGCATAATTAACTACGCGGATTGCATGTTTCTGACGGCGATAAAGATGTTGTAATTTACTTTTATCCGTACTTCCCCAGGCGATGATTGCATAATTTATATAGTTATGTATAAATGAATAATAGAGTTGGGTTAAGTTTTTTTTGTTTAGATAATTTCGGGCTTTGTATAAAATGCCAATATTTTTGAAAACTTTTGTGCTTATATGATCAATATGTTTTCTCCAAGTAATATTCTCATCAAGGTAAACACCTAAGAATTTTATAACAGTATCTCTTTTTATTATCGTTTCATCAATATAAATTTGAGGCATATTCCTTGGTAAAAAACGTTTTTTTGCGCAGGAGTGAAAGATAATCCATTTTGTTTTGTTAATATTTAAAGTTAATTTATTAGCTTTAAACCAATTAGAAATGTCATTTAGTTCTTTGTTTGTAGTTGAAAAGAGTTCATAAATATCAGTATGGGATAAGAAAAGATTAGTATCATCAGCGAACATTATACTTTTCAATTTGAAAGCTTTGTTTAAGTCATTTACATAAATTAAAAATAGCAGTTGTCCGAGAATAGAACCTTGTGGAACACCAAAGGTTATGCTCAGGGGTTCACTTTGCTGACCATTATTACTATAAACAAGTTGTTTTCGATTTGTTAAATAGCTTTCAAACCATTTTTAGATTCTATTGTTTAAACCATAATGTTTAATTTTTTGGATTAAAATGTGATGATCGACCGTATCAAAAGCTTTTGATAGGTCAATAAAAACACCTAGTGTATATTGGGATTTTTCAAAAGATTCAGAGATGTTATGTATAAGCTGAATAATAGCATGTTCAGTTGAACTCTCTTTTCTGAAACCATACTGATTGTTATGAAGTAAGTTGTTGTAATTAAAATAATTGTATACCCTATTGAAGATAATTCTTTCTAAAATTTTAGAAAATATAGAAAGAACAGAGATGGGACGATAATTACTGATATTGGTATTGATCTGTCGCCTTCTTTATGGATAGGGGTAACCCTGGCAAGTTTTAAACGTTCAGAAAAAATACCTTGATGGATAGATGCTCTGAAAATTTTAAAAAGAATATTTTTTAATTATTCGTAGCAATCTATAACAATATTTCCGTTTATTTCATCTGCACCAGGTGCTTTCTTTTTTTAAAAGATTTGAAAGCTTTTTCAAACTCATCAAATGATAGTTCGGTAGATAATTATTCTGAGCAAATATTTTTATCAATAGGTATCAAAAAATCATAAAATGAGGTTTGGGTTTTTGGTATTTTACTTGACAGAGTTGATCCAATTTCAGTGAAATATTTATTGAATTTATGAGCTATTATTTGTGATTCGTACATCGACTTTAAGCTTTTGTGGCAAAGAGCTTGAGCATGTTTTTTGTTTTCCAGTAATTTCTTTCAATACTAGCCAAGCGCTTTTTGAGTCATTTTTAACTTTATTAATTAATTTTGAATAGTAAGTTTTTTTTTAATTTTTTCGAATTTTTTCGAAAAGATTTTTGTAATCTTTGTAAATTTTTTCGCTAGCTGGTGTTTTTGTTTTTAGATATTTTATGTATAGTTTTTGTTTAGTTTTGGATGATTTTTTGAATCCTTTGGTAATCCAGGGATTATTAAAGTGTTTTGTTTTTAATGTAATTGTAACAATTGGGAAATTAAATTCGTAAACAGAGGTGAATGTTTCAAAGAACTTTTCATAAAGGTTGTTTGCGTTTTCATTAAAATTTAAGTGTTTCCAATGTAATAATGAGAGCTGTTTTTTGAAAGACTCATTATTTGATGGTTTAAAAAAACGTTTTTTTATAACTTTATTTAATTTTTGTTTAGGCGGTTGGTCAGTGTTTATGGTTAGAAAAATAGGAAAGTGGTCAGAAATATCTGTTTTTAAGATGCCCAATTTTATATCACTGTTGAACAAGTTTGTAGAAATAATATTATCCAGCAAAGTTGCTGAATTTTTTGTTATTCTTGTTGGACGATTTATTAAAGGGATTGCTCCAGATTCAAAAATTGCATCATAAAAGTTTCTAACTTTATTATCATTGTAGTCAAAACAATTCATATTAAAGTCGCCAACTAAAAAGTTTTTTTTTCTTTTTCGTTGTTACCTTTTGCAATAACTTTTTGCTGTAAAAACATGCTCAAGCTCTCGCTCTCGCCTTCTGGCGGTCGATAACAACAGCTAATTAAAATGTATTTTGTTCGTTCATTAATAATCTCAATTGTTAATATTTCTCCATCGCCGTCAGAAACACAAAGATCATTTCTACAACAATGCCTAATATTTTCATAAATTCAATTCAATTCAATTCAATATATTCTGAAATAAGTTGTAAAATTTCGAGGACTTTTACAAATAGTACAAGTACTAATCTAAAGTAAAAACCTACAACATTACAATAAAAGTGATTATAATAACAATAATAATAGTATTGATAATAATTATAGAAATAATATTAACAATAATAATAAGATGACGATGAAAAGGAATATTATTAGTAATAATACTAACAATAATAATAAAGATATTATACAATCAATATTAGATAATAGCAAAAATAGTGGTAATAACAATTACATAGTATAAGTAGTAAATAAACTTAAGAAAAAATTAAAAAAGCAGTAATAGTATTTATTATGTTATAAATAAAAATAACAATTTACTAATAAAGATAGAAGAATATTATTAATATCAATGCTAATAATAACAACAAAAATATGAGAACAAAAAGTTAATAATAAAACTAGTAGGTATCAAGAAAGTAGTAATAATAAAAGCATAACAACATATTTCATAGTCTTCAGGTATAATATCTTGCTAAAAAATAGTTAAAAAGACAGTTTTTGAAATTAGTAATAGTCAATTGATTTTAATGGTGAAGGTAGACTGTTCCATGATTTTACACTTTGGTATTTTATGGATTTTAGACCATATTTTACAGAAAAATGATTTGGTACATGAAGATTATAGCTATTAGCAGATCGTAGATGATAGCGACAGCTTTCTCTAACAGTAAAAAAATTTGTAAATGTGCTGGGTAGACATTTTTGCTTATAATTAAAGACAAAATGGCAATTTAATAGTTGAACTAGATCATCAATTTTGAGTATTTTGGATAAAAAATAAAGATGATCGGAGTTAGATTGATAATGCTGAAAATATATTATTTTTAATGCTTTGTTTTGTAAGTTGGATAATCTTAAAATTTCTTGGGTGCGGATTTGCCCCCAAACCAATCATAAACGTAAATTAGAACTCCACCACCGCGCTTACTTATTTGCCTTTCAAGAGAAATCATTTCAAAATGAGAAAGATAAAAATTAGAATTTTTATTAATGTCGTTTGAGGTAGCCCAAGTTTTAGTTAAGCAAATAATATTAAAAAAGTATTTAGTTTCCTCAAGTAAATTTTGAAACTTTTCAAAATTACAATTAATGCTTCTGACATTTACGTGAAGAATTCTAATTTGATCGTTGCTTTCTTTAGTAACATTCTTAAATAGAATTCCTTTCAATTCATTTGGATAATAGTAAGAACATTCGATTTTTGTATCGTGAAAATAATTAATATCTGGGTCGGAGTTTTCGTGTAAAGAAAAAAATTTCGTTTCAAAAAAATTAAAGGCAAGAGTTTCAAAGTCCACAGTGTTATAAAATAGGTTCTAACCTTAACTTTCTGACCCGGGAAAACCCTTTGGCGGAATGATAGCCCTTACTATGGGGATCACTTAGATATAAGTATCAAAATCAGATTACAACGTCCTGGCAAGTTATTTACATTTGAATTTTCATCCTAGTTAACACAAAACGTGTTTTAAACGTTTAATATACGTATTGATACGTATTAAAACGTATTATAAACGTGTTAAACACGTCTTGCGTTTAATAAAATACTTTATTGATTGCACAAATATGCAATATGAGCGCTTATTTTCCTTTTTGTAGTATTAAAAATCTCCAATTTACATAAATATAAACAAGGAAAGCAAAATAATATATTCTTGAAGTTATACAAGTAACAAACATAAAATATATTCAGAAAAAAAGTTTCTTTTAAATGGAACAAATTCAAAAACAACTTATTCTCAAATCCCTTCTTAAAATGACTTTTCACAAACAATGTTTAGTATTGAAGTCAACAATGCAACATTGCAACTTCTTACTGTATTCTGGATGATGATTGGGTCTTTTGTACCTTTGCCAATGTATCTGAAAGTTGTGATGCATTGCTTCTGTTGCCTGTTCTGAGTAAAGCCCAAGAGCCTGGCCATATCTGTCGATGAAATCTTTTACATGAAAAAATACTGCATGGACCTTGGGTGTTACAGACACATTTTGCAATGCCAGATAAGACACTCTGAATGCTTCAATTATTTGTGGGTAGTTTGGATTAAGGTTGCACCCAAAACAGCCAGATACTACCGCATTGAATTTTCGAAAAGCATCAATGAATGGGATGGCTGCATAGCATGAGTGTTTCTCAGCAATTGATTGAAGAATATCAATATTGTGTAGCAGCTTTCTGGACTCATTTCCTGCAAAATGTCCACCATGGTAAGGTTGTTGTTTAATGTGTAATGCATCAGACCAAAGAGTTACTCGAGGAAAAACTTGAAGCAGCGCAGCAAAAAGATGATTAAAAACTCCAATTAAGAGATGTAATTCCATGGGAGGAAGAAAATTCAAAACCAAAGTGTCTCCAGGTAGTTTAAATATTGGAGAATGAACAACATTTTTATAGTCACGAGCTTTTCTAATATTGGAACCAGCTGACTTGAAGAGTGAGACATTTTTTTCCAGAGATTCAAAAGTCCTCAATTTCCCTTGATTTACAAGTTCTTTTGAACCAGATTCACACCAGGTGCAGGGATGTGCACTTGAGTGTGCTTGAAGCCCACAAATTATATTAGCAAGTTTTAGATCACAGGACATGACAAACTCCTGGTCTTTCAATTTAATCAACTCAAATACTTGCAAAACGTTAGTATAACTTTCTTGAAGCTCCTCACTGACAGCAATGACTAGTTGTTGTTTTACACCAGTGTCCTTAAAAACCTTGCTTGTGCAGTTGATTTTTGCTGGGGGAATGCAAGGTTCATGATTTAATTCAATAATTCCCAGGGTAACTTTCAGAAACCCACCTCCTCCGTCAATTCCAACCTTTACAATGTGATTTTTTGATGTACTTCTCATGGCTATAATTTCATTTTTAAGCTCATGGAAGTTCTTGCAATGTATGACTGTCCTCACACATCCAGCGTGATCTTGAATTAATGAACTTGTGAAATGATGTACAAGTTGCTTGCTGAATTTGTCAAAATTTATGGCGTAATTTTTTTCAACAATCTGTTGTGAGGTTGACTGATTAATAGTAGCTGCTAACCTCTTAATGCCATTGTTTGAAAGCCCTGTGTTTGCTTGAACTTTAGCAAGGTCTTTTACACTTATTGATGAATTTGAAGAGAAAAGTTGTCTAGCTGATGACGAACCTATAGTGAATACAAAAAGTTAAAAATTTAACTTATCATTAATTTGAACTATAAAAAACTATATAAAATTTATACTTGGTGTTACTGGAAGCATTCTTCCACCATAAAGTTGACTTAATCGAACAGTTCCATGTGGAGAAGGAGCTTTATTTGAAACAACAAGAGCTGCAATTCTTTCTGATGCCAAAGGATCCTTTGTTACTACAGCAACAAGATTATTTCTCAAAGTGCCTTTTGTGCAGTTGTGAGACAATCCTCGACCAATAATTGAAAAACAGTCTGAGCATCTTTTTTCTACTGTTAAAGAAGGTGTTCTAGTTGCTGAACTTTGTGCGAATTCAATTTTCATTTGACCATTGTGTCTCAGTTTACCAATTGAACAGATCAAGCAGTTACAGTGAGAGTCTCGAGTTTCTGGTCGAAGTTTTATAGTCTCAAACTTATACAATGATGGGAGTGTGATGTCTTCTCCACTTTCCTTCCTTCTTAAACAAGAGCGACATTTTTCACATATTCCAAGTGGAACTTTGTCATCATTAAAGTTTATTTTCTCTTTCAGTATAATCTGACATCTTTCTTTTAGATTTGATGTTAGCTTTCGTTTACTTTTACTAAAACAAAGAAAACAAACAGATTTCCTGCATTCTTGGTGGTTTTTAGCAGTATTTGGCATTTTCGGTAAAATTAGATGTGCTCAGTTTAGCTCTCATTAGTAAAGTAAAAACAACGTGCTTTTACCCAGAATTCAAAAGTAGAAATTTATTCCAAAATAATTTATGTCATAATTAAATACGTTTCATATCAATTAAAGCAGTTTTTACAAACTAATCATAGTTTTGGTATGTAGAAATGCAAAATAAGCTGTCATTCCGCATGTTTGTGCAATCAATATATTTTATGTTTGTTACTTGTATAACTTCAAGAATATATTATTTTGCTTTCCTTGTTTATATTTATGTAAATTGGAGATTTTTAATACTACAAAAAGGAAAATAAGCGCTCATATTGCATATTTGTGCAATCAATAAAGTATTTTATTAAACGCAAGACGTGTTTAACACGTTTATAATACGTTTTAATACGTATCAATACGTATATTAAACGTTTAAAACACGTTTTGTGTTAACTAGGATGAAAATTCAAATGTAAATAACTTGCCAGGACGTTGTAATCTGATTTTGATACTTATATCTAAGTGATCCCCATAGTAAGGACTATCATTCCGCCAAAGGGTTTTCCCGGGTCAGAAAGTTAAGGTTAGAACCTATTTTATAACACTGTGAGTCACTTATTAAAGCCATGATTAGTTATAAAAAATTGAAAAGGAGTTCTTTTTAAGAACGAACGCATTTACTTCCGAAATTCTCTATAAAAAATTTTATTATGCTTTATAACTGCATACTTACCTTCAAGTCGCAGTTTTTTGACCTCTTCCCACAACTTTTTTCGGCTTTCGATTGTTTCTTTTGCGAAATCCTCATTGACATATATCCCTGTTCCTCGCAAATTTTTTGTAGCGCTGAGTATTTTTGTTTTATCTTGAAAATTTAATAATTTAAGGACAATAGTTTTTGGTTTCTTGTCTTCTTTAGGGGGGCCTACTTTATGAGCTCTTTCTATGATAATATCATAGTTAATTTTAAGTTGTTTTTTGAACATTTTCGTAACTGCATTTTCGGCCCAATTTTCATTTGGTTTTTCATATATTCAGTCTATTCTTAAATTATTCCTTCGAGACCGGTTATCTAAATCTAGTGTCTTTTTATTTAAGTAGTTTATTTCTTTTTCATAACGCTTCGTGATCTGATTTAATTTTTCCGTGATGCTTCTCTCTTGAAAGTTAAGACTTTCTTCAAAATCGCGTAAGTCGTTTTCTATGCTCAAGACTTTTGATTTGTCAATGTCTACTTCTTTTTCAATTTTATCTAATCGATTAGTGAGTATTTTTAAATTTGCACTAATTATACCAGTAAAAATTTTTTCTTGATCTTTTAACAGGTTTCTTTTAAAATACTCTTTTTTTTTTATAGAAATAATAAGAGAAAAAGTTTGATTTGTGAGAATTTTTAATAGAAATAATATGTAAAAAATTTTAATAGAGGGAATCAAGAAATTAAAAAAAGATAAACCCTTTGAAACTACCTAAGGGTTTTAAAAACAGCGGAAATTGCTTTATTGGTACATAATCTTCTAAATTCCCTATAAATAGAATTTTTGGCACAAATCATACCGCTCGAAAACGTCAAAATTTTGAACGCGATAGTCTCAAATTTTTTTTAAACGTTTCAAATTTTTAAGGTGATTCTCTGCCATTCAAGTTAAAAATTAAATTAAGTGATATTATCTAATACAAAAATTATCATGAATCAATAATAAAAGAATAACAATAAAAGATAATAACAATAAAAGATCCTCTAAAATTTTTGGGGGCCCCTAAATTTGCGAAGCCCGGGGTTATAGCCCCCTAGCCCCACCCCTTGATACGGCACTGGGGTGTACTCATAGTAAGATAAAGCAAAATGGGAACCAAACCTATTTAATTAGTCCTTCAATTAGTTACAAATTGCTAATGAAAATAAATACCAAATGAAATATTTTTAAAAGTCTTTTAATTATAACAAAAAATACAAATTAAATAAAATATTATTAAAAAAAAATAAATAAATAAAGCTGGTAAACATATCAAAATGATCCAATAAAATCACAGCCGTCAAATTCTTTGTTAGCATGTATGAGGTCTTTTGGTTCAAGTTTTAAACGTTTTTATCTACATTTGAATTTTTAAGTATTTTTTTTTACATTTTAAAACACTTTGACGATCATCTTTTTTTTTTTGCTGATCTTTTTAAAGTATTCTTATAAAATATTTAAATTGCTAAAATCTTTTCTAATAAATTGAATTTTCTGAGACCAAGTTAGTAATTTGAAGCATTCAATGACATTCTAATATAGTTATTGTAGCCATCAGACTAAAAATATTAATTGAAAGCAAAATGATTAAAATTACAGCAAGTCTATTCAAATTAATTCAAATAAAGTGTTCCTTAGCAACCGTTGCTATACAAACTGCTTAATACAAACAACTATTGCACAAAATACGTAAAAATAAATAAAAATGGCTTTGTGTATATATATATATATATATATATATATATATATATATATATATATATATATATATATATATATATATATATATATATATATATATATATATATATAAAACATTAGGAGTACCAAGATTAACGCTGAAAGACAAGATAAATGAACGTCGAAAATCAAGCTCTGTGGGAGGAAAAACAGTGTTTACAAAGCAACAGCAACAAGCACTAGTAACCAGGCTTTTTTACATGGCATTTTGTGGGTTTCCATTGACAACAAAGTGGTTGAGGTATAATGCTTATTTAAATGTTAAAAAACTGCATCGTTGTCAATAACTTCAAAAAGATTTGCCCACTACATGGCATAAATCACATTTAGATCACTCACTTAAATAAAAATAAAAAAATCTTTTTTATCCAATCAAATAAAAGCATATGGCTCAAAGAAAAGGATATCCCATAGTTAACTATATATATATATATATATATATATATATATATATATATATATATATATATGTATATATATATATATATATATATATATATATATATATATATATATATATATATACATATATACATATATACATATATACATATATACATATATATATATATACATATATACATATATACATATATACATATATACATATATACATATATATATATATATATATATATATATATATATATATATATATATATATATATATATATATATACATATATACATATATACATATATACATATATATATATATATATATATATATATATATATATATATATATATATATATATATATATATATACATATATAAATATATATATATATATATATATATATATATATATATATATATATATATATATATATATATATATATATATATATATATATATATATATATATATATATATATATATATATATATATATATATATATATATATATATATATATATATATATATATATATATATATATATATATATAGTATATGTAATGTATAATTTAATGTTTTGGTATTTTAGCCATCTCAAATTGTTTTTTTATACAAAAGTCCAATATCCTGTTTTTAATACCTCTTGTCAAGACATTTTAAATGGTTTTGATTAATCAGAAAAATAGATCATTATTTTTAATTAAATTTAACAACAAAATAACAATTAACAATAAACGTAAAAATAAAAAATACAATTAATTTACTATTACACATCTTTTTTACATCTTTTGTACATACAAAATATGTATAGGTTTTTAAAGCTATAAAAAGCTTATAACTTGTATGCTTTATCTAATAACAAGTTTTTAAACCCAGAACACAGAATACTTTTTGAGTATTTTTCTTTATTAAAAGGTCTTTAGTCTAACTTACTCTTTCCAAAGTTTTTTGAAATTGGTATAAGCTTAGGTGGAACTCTATTAAAGTCGTCATTTTTTTCGAAAACATTTTGCTGCCATTTACAAAAATCATCGCTGTGTTCTGTTTTATTTTTGTATGTAAGTTTTACATGCCACTCTTGTACAGACTTATCTTGTCTAAGGTTTGTTGTTTTGTTTTCATCAATACTGGGCGCTGAATTGTCCGTGATGGCGACTGTTGAAAGTTCTTCCTTAGCTGCATTAGGTATTTTATGTTTCAAAGATAAATTTTCTGTTTTGCTTTTGCTTTCAACTTGCGTATTGTCAATATTATTGTTTATTAACAAATTTCTTTCTGCTTTTCGCCATTTAGCACGGCGATTTTGAAACCAAACCTTAAAAAGTTCAAAATATACTGTATATATATATATATATATATATATATATATATATATATATATATATATATATATATATATATATATATATATATATATATATATATATATATATATATATATATATATATATATATATAAGGAAATATCGAAATAAGGAAAATCTAAAAAAAAAAAAATTCAACTTTACCTGTATTCTTGACTCAGCTATTTCCAACTTCAATGCTAACACCTCTCTTGTATATACATCCGGATAATATGATTTCTTAAATGCTGTTTCAAGCTCTTCTAACTGCCACGGAGAAAAATTTGTGCGCATTCGAATTCGCCGATATCCATTTTGGCTGGTGCAATAGTAACTATTTAACGTATCTAAAAAAAATAACAGTCTTGTTGTTGAAAATTAAAAAACTCGTAACAATATATATATTTTTTAACTTTATTTTTAACTAAACATACCAAGCTTTTTGCAATACAATTGCTTATTTTGTAGACTTGTGCAATACAGTTGGTTATTTTGTAGACTTGTGCAACGTGATTGGTTATCTTGTAGACTTGTGCAACGTAATTGCTTATCTTGTAAAAAATGTCTTTCTTGCATATCATCTATGCTATACTTCAATGACGAATATTGATTAATAAATTTTGAATTTAATTCATTGAAGTTGCGATATGAAACAGTTCGATATGAAGGAACCTTTTGTAAGTGTAGTGTCTCCATTCCAAATTTATATGAAAAACTATTTTCCACATATTTTCTATCTGGTAAACTGCTTGAATCTGGTAACCTGCATGGGCAATATTTTAGTTTACACGACGAAACAGGCATCATTGTCACCAATTTTTTGTTGCCTTGCACAATTTGTTTTAAAAGTATTTAAGAGTCGTCTTAGCTACTTTGTTTTAAATAGGCGGATGTTTCTTTAATAAATCTAGAATCTAATAAAATTGTTTGGGAGGTTTGAATTTCAACAATGCGTATGTAAAATATGTCAAAAGTTTCGTGTAATAAAGTTAGATTTATATTTATTCAGTAATAATACAGAATAATAATAAAGATATATTTTCTTAAACCGCACACCCGTGTTTTTATTGTATCAAAACAAGCTAGAATAAGAAGCTTGTACAAAAATACTGCAACATCCGAGTCCCTGAACTATGAATTTGAGTACCGATGAACTTCTGGTTAAAACAATCACTAAGCAGTTGAGCCAATAAGCTTTGAGAGAATTGTTTAAACATAAAGTTTAGTACTCAAACTGCTGGTTAGTCAAATCTTATTATTTGTACAATTGTATTTATACAATTTTCACCTTCTAATTGCTCCAGTTTTAATTTTAATTTGTTTGTAAAATAATTTGATTTTTTAATAAAGAACTTTCTTTTTACTTAGTTACGAAGTAGTTTTGTGAGTTTATTAAAATTTTGAATCTCAAAATTTGATAAATTAATCTAGTTTTTACAATTATAATCAACTATAATTTTTATTGTATAATTGAAAATTTAAATATATTTTAATGACAAGTGGTTACCAAATAAAGATAATAATGAAATAATTAAGTTATAAAATTTTTTATTAAAACAGTATCTTGTATATTTTAAATAACATTTCAAACATCAAATGACAATACAGAACGCTGACCACTGTTGTGCTCATTAAAGCCGCTGACAACAATCCGTTAGAAATTGTACAGCTATGTCAATAGATAATTTTTATGGTTAAAATATAATTGCTATGAAAAAAAACACGTTTATTTTATTATTTTAGAATATCATGATGAAAACAAAAATATGACCACTAGAACCATTTCAGTTTGTATACTCATTTAATTTTTTCATTTGAGGAAAACCTCTTCTCGGTTGTCGTATCGTATTACTTATAAAGTTTTTGTTGCTTAATTATTTTGATTTGCTTATAAGTTATTTAAAATTCTCAATACTATGCATTCCTGATATCTTTAAATTTAATTTTCAGTAAAAATTTAAAACGTTTAAAAGTAACGAGTAAAAATTTGTTACGTTTATAAAATGGCTGACTTTTGTTTTGAACTAAATATATGAGGGTTCCGTAAGTTAAAAGTAATATATTTGAATTTTTTAAGTTATAGAGATGTATTCCTAATATATCTGATGCTAGTTTAGAAATAAAATTTAATTTTTTGAAAATGAAGCAATTGTTCAAGGTTTTCTGGATATAACAATGGAGTATATATTGATTATACTTTTAGGTATAACAATGGAGTATATAATGATTATAATTTTTATCGACAAATCAAATGATATTAAGATATATATTTTGTAATTTTGCAAACAACCTAATTATATAATTATAATATGTAAAGCCAAAATGAATAAAGAAGATTTTTAGTGTGAAAAGATGTTTACTGTGACTTTGAATGACTAATATATATTGTGTATGAAATATTAGATTATATTTAATTATATTAAATAATAATAATAATTATGTAATATTAGTTGTTAATGTTAGTCAGAAAAGTATATAACTTGTTAGTCAAATTTATTGGTTTACAAAGTTTGGAGTTTTATAGGCACCTCATTAAAAACTAATTTGATGAAATAAATAACAATATCAACAGGTGATGCATTTATTATTTTAATTTTAATAATTTTGCAAAAAGACGTCTGTAACAAATGAAACCTAATAAACACATAAGCTTGTGTTAAATGTTGAAATAACGTTTAGACAAAACGTTTACTTTTGGTCTATTATCCGTTCAGAATGAAACTAGGTTTCATTCAAGAACAAACCATGTTTTCCATTAGAATCAGTCAGAGCTCAATAGAAGCCATTTTTAAAAGTGCTATTTTTAAGTGTGTTAATACTGTTGATACTAAGAAATAAAATAAAATAAAAATATTTATTTGTTCTAGTGATATTAGATTTCAAAGTCATCAAATGCATTTTTAAACTTGAAATTAGAAAGAAGCCTATATTTTCCCATAGTTATTTTATTTCATTATTTTATATTAGGTAGTTGAGACTTAAAAAAGTATAAAATACATATGGTAGAGAGATGAGTTGTCTAAATATTATGCTTCAAAATTACCTAAAAGTTGATTTTTTAGGTAATTTTGAAGCATAATAATTTGGGGAAAAAACTTCATAAAAAGTTTAATGTAATTATGAAAAGCCCAAATAATTATTTAGCAAAATCCACAAAATATTATTTTTAATCTAATAGTTAAAAAAAACTATGCTTTTCTTTTTAAGTTTTTTTTATAATCTTTTATAATCATTTTTTGATAAAAAATGTAATGTATATAAATATGTATAATTATTTTTGAAAACTCAGGATTCACGTTAGTCAGTATTGTAAACGTTTTATCGACGTTTAATAAACGAATAGACAAATAGTTTTGTAATTTACGCTTTAATTCTCTTAATGTATACGATTATTAAACAATATTGACTTATGTTAGTCAATATTGTAAACGTTTAATCAACGTTTAATAAACGCATACATTAAAAGGCTTAAAATGTAAATCCAAATTAACTATTTTTAGTCAATAATTGGTCGCTAAACTTTTTATCCATTTTTCAATTAATTTCGACTAAACATTGGACGACTCTGTTCTTACTGGGAAAAGATTTACTAACAAAGTGTTAAATTACCACAAGAGGTTTCTGAGTTTTTATTTCAAACTTCAGACTGAAATTTTGAAGTCGTTTTATGGCTTCTTAGACAGATGTGACTTTGCTTTCTGTTGGCGCTCTACTTAAATATACTACCAATGAAAATCATAGCAATTTTAACTGTTGCATTGTTTATAATTCTTGGTGCCTCATATGCTAAAAAGGCATAAAAATTCAAAACTTAAATTTTTTTTTTGTCTTATCTGAAGTTTACTCTAGACTAAGAAAATTTATACTTTTTTTACATTTAAACTCAATGTTATAAGTAAAATTAATTTGGTTTTAAGAACATCTTTTTAGGTTCTATTTGATTTTGAAAAATTATTAAGAGTATATTTGTGAGTAAACGATATTACCCACAAGTGATATTAAAAGGTGCCTAATTATAGTATAATTATTATTAATTATTAGTTACGTAATAGCATATAAATATAAGTACTTATTTACTTAATCACATATAACTTACTTGTCGAACCAAACGCAAGCGTTATTAACTGACAAAAATAAAAAACAAACAAGAATTTAAAAAGCATTAAACAATCAAATAAATAGTTTTAATTTAAGCAAGAAATAAATTTTTTTAATTTAAACGCTAACAATACTTTAACGCTATAATAATGCGTCTTATTAAATAATTTATATATATTAGACATGCGTACGCGTAGAAGATCATTGTATGGAACTTCCCTGCTTCCCTGGTAACGAGTCTCAAAGAAATTTGACCTCCAGTATAAAAACGAATTAGAAAAATCCAAATAGGTAATAATTTTGTGAGTTAGACCTTGTTTTAGTTAGGATTTTTTTTTTTTTTCGCATTTTACAAATATATGCATTTATATTTTTACATATAACTCTTTTTACATCTAATTAAGAAACGCAATTTTATATAGAAATTATAAATATATAAAATTTAGTGAACAATCAAAAGTTGTTTTAGCCAAAAACAATGTTTGCTGAAACAAAAATTCGTCAAATAACCGAAACCAAAATTTGGTTATAACGTTGCCGAAACCAAAACCAAAACTAAAAACCGAAAATAAACAAAAAATAAAGTATAAAGCATGTTTAACTTTTCGTTTTATTTTAGTTTTGTATAAGAGTTTACACGGTGATCTTTTGTCTAAGATTTTCCTTATATCAGTGGATCTGCAAAATACAAAATAGTGAAACAACCTCATGTTCTCTATTTACAATGAGAACTCACTTTAATTTGGGAAAAAAAATTAGCACATTATGTAGTCAGAACGTTGCTTTTTTGTTTTTAAAAAATATTGATGTTTTGACCTAAATTAGTTTGGGAGCAGATTATCAATGTTGAGGGCATTAAAAAATACACACTATAAATCAACGTTTTAATTAATTTTTTTCTAAAATTAAAAAAATAGAACCTTTTTTATTATTAAGGCAAGTAAAAGTTCTTGATTTTGTAATTTTTTTCAATGTAAAATTTACAATTTGAAACTTTAGAGCTTTTCTATTAGAAAAAAACCAGTTTTAACCGAATATGAAGTTTTCGCTAAAAGGTATATTACGGTAAGTTCCCGCTCATCCGCTTTATTACGGAAACGGGAAGGGGAAGGGAAAAATAATCACGTGGGCATGCGTAGTATAAGTTTTAATTTGTCCTATGAAAACTACGCATGCTCACGAAATTATTTTTTCCTTTCCTTTCCCGTTTCCGTAAATAAACGGATGAGCGGAAACTCACGTTTAGATTAGGTGAAGGGATAACGAAGCCAAAAACCGTTTAAAATTGTGGTACAGTCTTAATTATATAATTATTCAAGCGAATGGCAAAATGCTCAAAAATAAGATAGATCCCTGTTTTGAGTGCTTTTTTAAACTTTTTTGAAATACTGGTTTCTATCGACACTTAAATACAAAACTGTTTATAAGTGCAAAACGTATCATCTCATTGATCTCTGACCCTAACCCAAACCGCGTAAATTTAATTGCGCCAATCCCTATTTGTCATTCGATATACTTACACCTAAAAGTTTTTTTTAAGTTAAATTTGATTAAAGTTAATCTTGACGACAATAAAAATCGGATTAGATAACTAAAAAAAAAGAAATGATTTCTAAATAAAAACAGTTAAAGTGTTAACGAATTCTTTTAAAAAGATGTTGAATATTGGTAGCAGGAAAAAATCCCCCCGAAAAGAATCGTACATAATATACACAACGCTAAATTTCACTTATGAACAAACAAAAAAAGTTAAAAATTTTCACTCTTAGAGTCTTAATTTAAATAAAAAATCAAAATAGCGCATTAAGTTTAATGAAAATCGTCGTGTAAGAGCTTAAGATCACCTACTTCTGCTTTTTAAATGTTTTATTAAGCGATGCGTAATTTATGGAAGATCCCAAATAATCCTCTATAAAAAATTCCCCCGAAAAAAAATCCACCCGGAAAAAATCTCCTCCCAAGAAAAATTTTGATATAAATTTTTATACTTATTATAAATTTTTAAAGTTATTTAAAACTT